GACTTAGTGGACGATCTATACGACAAGTACCCGCACTGGCATGGTCAAAAGCAGATGGAGTGAGTTTTGGGATTATTAAAAACAAAATTATTGTAAGGACATTCTTTTTTTTTCTTTTATCTCTCCTGAATTCTCAACAGTTATGAGATTTTGAATTTCGATTTAGGATTCCGTTCCGCTCCACACATGCCTATCATTGTTCAAAGAAGCCATCTTAGAGAAGGCTGAACGATGTAAATAAATAATGCCATTGTTTTTGCACTATGAATTTGTAACCTGCTACATTTTAAACAAATATACGTACGATCATTAACGCAACAATAAGAAATAATTTATCTACAAAGTATAAACAACATAGTTCGAATTAGCCCTTACAGTCTAAGTGTAATTTCACTTGGGAGGATTGGCTCAGTAGTTGGTTGTTCAACTGCGTTATTTTCTGTGGGGGATGTCTGTGGTGCTTCGGGATTTTCAATCCCTTCATATTCAGCGTGAACAACGGTTACACCTCTGTACAGTATATAATGTTGAATAATGAAAATGATGTCGAATATTATCGAAACTAAGCCGAGGCCGAATTTTACGGGATTGCCATAGAATGCGCTCCAGTTGTTCACATTGTAACTCTGGAAAACCATTTGGACGATGTCTAGGGCACCACCAGTGAAGTCAAGCAAAATGTTGCCAATTGACCAGCCAACTGTGCTTTTACGTCGGAAGTTAAAGAACATCTGAAATACTCAAATACATTAAGTTCTCATTATAATGAAAACTACGTAAATGTTTCTGTAAAAGGTCTAGAAACTTTTCATATGGAAAACTTTACTCAACTCGTTTTTCAAGAAATGTAGGAAACATCGATTGAAAGGTTTTACAGAAAGATAAATCAGTGAATTTGGTGGTGTCTTAAGATACATATGACGTGTTTGATACAATTTTGATTGTTTGATCCAAATCTTTCCTTTATGTTTCATTTTCCATTTTTTTTCTGTGCGAATCTTGGCTGACACTCTAAATACAGCAAGGAAGTATCACATCATTAGTGGCTTAATGGTTGCAATCTCCGCGTTTGATCGTGCGAGTCAGTGCTTCGACGTGCTCTTCGCGT